ATGGCATCACGTGAAATGCCAAAAGATTTTAATTTCTCCTGAAGTACCTGGTTCCAGGAAGACTTGAGGCTGTCAGCCAGTTGGAGGAGCCAGACTAGCCAGGAAAAAAAGAAGAAACTTAAGCCAGTAAAAAAATAATATGAGTCCAGGCAAAAGTTTCTGTTTTAAGACAGTTTTATGGCACATCATCACATTAGGAACTCAAAAGGACACTTGGAATATGGATCCTAAAAGCTGAGATTGCGCCCTTTCAAGGGGAAAAAATAACCTGTAAGGGCCCAAATAAACTCCAAAATGCAGTTGGGCATGAGTTTAGCTGAGAAGACTTTAATTGCTGCAGTTATGACCTAAGAAATGAAAGGATTGTAGAGCTGAGGGTGATTTCCCCATGTTTATGATGCTTTCATTCTGTATGTGCACAGATGCGCACTGACACTTAAGTTGCAGTATTATTAAGATTTATGGAAGAGTAAATTCTATGGAACTCAAGACTTCCATCTCAGCAGATGGGCAGATGGGCCTGTCCAAACCCAAATAACCGCTAAATGTCATCAAATGCATATTTTTGCTATCATCTAGAGGTTGTCCAGATTTCTGCAGCCCAGATCTGGTAATCCTGTGCGCAGAGGACTGCACTGTTTGTAACTCAAAGCAGACCAGGCAGCTTTGCTACACAAGACTTAGCAGAATGAACTGCCTGCTCTCATGCAGCTTCCATTTATTGCAACGGAGTTTATATGGGAAGAATCCCTGCATCCTTGTCTTCAGTATCAAATTCAGTTACTTAAATGCCAACAGAACTATTTGGATTGCAGACAAACAAGAGGCCATTACCAATAGGCTTTTTGGAAGTTACAGGAAGTCTTTAGGGGAGGGGTGGACAACCCACGCCCATGGAACACAGGTAGCCTCCTGGGCCTGCTTTGCAGATTCCAGAGCACACCCAGATGCCATCATAAACCCTGGATGGCCTTATAAATGCTTTAATAAATCAACCAACCAACCAGTAAATAAATACATTCACTGGCAGAACCACTGCTGTCAGTTGTGCAAAATATTTTCTCCCTTGAAAGGTGCCTCCATGAGGCTTAATGCTCCTTATTTTGCACTTAAAATGGGTTGGGATTGATTGGCCCTGGCACTTGGTGGCATTGCTTTATCACCAACTGCACTCTTGGGGCTCTTGGAGGTCCAATAATCATTTTTAAAAGCGCAGCCCTCTGGCTGAAGAAGGTGAGAGTGAATTGCAGCCCTTTCTTGTACCTTCTGTTTCTCTTGTAGCACAGGAACAACCTTCTCCCATTGAAACAAATCCAGAGATGGTCCCCTTCTCAAACTTCCTCAGTTGCACAGCCAAAGTTTTCATACTTTTGCACCATGGGGGGGATGTACAAGTGAATGCATGGTACTGGGTTCCTGGGGTCACATTTGATCCCAGCCCCAGCTTTAGGCATTATTCCTTTTTTTTTTTAGAATGCTCATGTGTGTCATTCATTTCTGTTCTTATTTCATTGTATTCAATGTTAATTCGATTTTATTACAGCCTTTAGCCAGCAAATCCATTGCACCTCGGTCACGGTGATAATCATGCATTTATAAGAAGAATCAGTAAATGAAATGCATGTACCAAATGTCTTCACTCTGGGCCCCAACATTCCTAACCAGTTTGGCAATTGGTCATGTTGGATAGCAGTGATGGAAGTGCTAATGCTAAAGCTCCAGAAAACATCAATATGGAGAAGGTCATAATAGAATGAAGTAATGGAAAGAACCCCTGGAATCTTTTTTTATCTCAGGCATGTGAAACTGTGATGTAGACCAAGGTTCCTCAACCTTGGCAACTTTAAGACGGGTGGACTTCTACTTCCAGAATTCCCCAGCCAGCCTTGCTGGCTGGGGAATTCTGGA